AAAAAGCAGACATATGACAAATGAATTTGTGTTACAGGTTCGAGGATTGCCGACATTGTATTTCATAAGTCCAGACCCGAAGAAAGATGCTATCCGTACGGAGGGGCTAGTGCCAATACAAATGATGCGTGATATACTGGAAAATGACATGTGAAGTCATTATAAAAGGAGCTACACTCTTTGGAGCTTCACAATCAAAATTTGTCAATCACGCGTTCTTGCTTTTCCGAAGAAATGGTTTGGAGTAGAAATTCTGCAAAGCACCGTTGCAGCCTATCATTTTCTGTCTTGTCTTGTCTTTGTAAATGTTGAGATGTTGATTGTCGATCCCTTTATACATTTCAGTATAAGTTGGAAGAGGATAAGGCAGAAAACAACTTGTATCAGACAATTGGGATCAGCCAAGTTTTGCTGGGTTCTGCTTTCTGACTATGGAATCGAAATTCCACCCTTCAAATTAAGAGCTTTGATCATCCTTGCCAGTGTTGAGTGTACACATATTTTTCGTTTTGTAGTGTACAAGTTGCTTAATACATGGCTCTCCTTCAAATTTACACAACTGTAGACACTTGTTTTGGAATATTTACAGAAATGTGAATGGGGATCTCTTCAGGATGTTTGTCAATCAATTCAGTTCAATTCAAGCTTGTTTGTTTTGAGTTGGACAAGTTGTAGGTGAGTCGAATATGAGTGAATGTTACTATGTTTGTCAATCAATTCAGTTCAATTCAAGCTTGTTTGTTTTGAGTTGGACAAGTTGTAGGTGAGTCGAATATGAGTGAATGTTACTAGAATTACGCTCTAAACTTTTTTTTTTTTTTTTTTTTGTTCAAAAACAAATGTCCCTGAGCAACTGGAAGGAATACACTTCTTCACTGTTCTCTGAATCTTGTAGAATCAACAGTTGAGGCTGAGCAGTAGGGTGAACTGGTACTATCATGTGCAATCTCTGGATCTCAGCTGTTGTTGTGCCTTTGGTTCTGGTGATGTGGTGTTTCTTGGCTGCAAATGTTCTTGTGAGGTTTCCTTGGTTCTCTGGTGCTTATCTGTTGATTGGCTCTGGGAGGGTTGGACAGACTTGCTGGTTTTCATGTTCTCTGGTTCTGTAGTTTTTATTTGCTTTGTTTGTTTTGTTGGCCCCTTTGTTTAGTTTCAGGTTTGTTATGTTCCTAGTTCTCTTGTTTTTCTTTTCTGTTGTATTTTCCTTTGGTTAGCTTGTTAGTTGACTCAACTATGCCAATTAGGGCAGTGGTTGTGCCTTTTTTCTCTAAGTCTGTCGATTCGGCAGCAAAGTATAAAGAAACAACTCTCCGGACCTCTTTGCTTGTCAATGCCGGGAGTTGGGCTTTATGCTTTATTTTTAGTAGGTTCTAGTGCGCTTTGAGGTGCCACTCCGTTTTCCTTTTGGATCTTGTATGGGTTTTTTAACCCGGACGGTATATCTTTTATTGAGTAATAAAATTTATCGTTTCGAAAA